TTGTCTACTATTCACTCTTTTTTCGAACCTCAGTCTTACAAGGAGGCCTGTTAGAATCTTCATTGGATTCGAGCTATGGAGAATGAGCTGTCTGCTTTGCAGAAAAGTAGTACTTGGGAGTTAGCTCCTTTGCCTGCTAGTAAGAATCTAGTTGGTTGCAAATGGGTGTACAAAGTCTAGACTCACTCTGATGGTTCTCTTGAGTGTTACAAAGCTGACTTGGTTGCCACAGGTTTCTCACAGGAGTATGGTATTGATTATAAGAAGACCTTTGCCTCTGTTGTTAAGATGACTATTGTTCGTACTTTGATCTCTATTGCTGCTGTTCATTATTTGTCTTTTTATCAAATGGATGTTAAGAATGTTTTTTTTAATGGCCATCTCACTGAGGAGGTTTACATGCGTCCTCTTTCTGGTCTTCATCATTCCTCTGGACTTGTTTGTCGTCTTCGGCATGCTTTGTATGGTTTGAAGCAATCTCCTCGTGCTTGGTATGATCTCTTTTAGACAGCAATTACTGAGTTTGGGTTTCATCTGTGTGACCAAGCCTTTGCCTTGTTTCTCCTTTGCACCTTTGCTGGTTTTGTTGCCTTATTATTGTATGTGGATGATATGATCATTACTGGCTCTAACACTTCTGCTATCTCTGAGGTCATGTAGCATCTCTTCTAAACTTTCGAAATGAAGGATTTGGGACCATTGCAGTATTTTCTTGGTATTGAGGTAACTTCTTCTCCCAAGAGCTACTTTTTATCTCAGGCCAAGTATGCCAATGAGATTATTCACTCTGCTAATCTTACTGACACTAAGATTTCTGATACCTCCATTGAGCTTAATGTGAAGCTTAACACTGCTGATGGTGTCCTATTGGATGATCCTACTTTGTATCGCAAGTTTGTGAGCTGCTTAGTCTATCTAACAGTTACTCGCTCTGATCTTGCCTATGCTGTTCATACGGTTAGCCAGTTCATTTTTGCTCCTTGCTCTATGCATTAGGCTGCCTTGGTTCGGATTCATCACTATCTCTGCGGTGCTATCTTTCAAGGCTTGCTGTTGTCCTCTACTTCTTCCTTGGGTTTGGTGGCTTATGCTGATGTTGATTGGGTTGGTGATGTTACTGATCGTAAGTCCATTTATGGTTTTTGTATGTTTCTTGGTGATTCCTTGATTTCTTCTCTAAAAATTTCTGGAGTCGCCATTGGTTTAGAGCACAAGGCTCCTGCTTGTAGCAAGTTTTGGGAGTGGTAGTAAATAGACAATCTTACCCTTCATTTTTGTGTAGAGGTTGATTGACTTTCTCCAACCCAGTTTTCAAAGGCTTTATTAAGGCTCACCTTGAGGCAAGTCCTAAAGAAAAAATCATCGAGGTTTTGATTTTTAGGCGACACTTCTCAAAGGCTTGCACAACACAATCTGAGGTGTGCGCTTCAGATGCGCCTTGCATGCCTTTTGCACATAAGTATACGAGGAGTACGTATATGGAGAGTTGGCTTTAGGCTATTGTTAAACTTAGTCTATATATGGTTTAAATATAAAAAAAAACCTCTTTTGTAACCACATTTCACGGGAAAAATCATGTAAATAACCCGCCCCCCCCCCCCCCCCAAAAAAAAAAAAAACAAAAAACAAAAACACAAAGTTAAGGATCAAGTGAAAAGCTTGATAATTTAAACTGACAATGTCGTTTTCACTTTCGATGAGGGCGAGCTTCTTTGCAGTGAAATTTCGATGCGTTTGGGATAAAAGTATTTACACCTCTATATTTAAGTTAATTGTTTTTTACTATTTTGAAGTATTTTATTTATTTATTATATATAAAGATTTGAAATGCTTATGTCTCACCTCATGTGAGGTAAAATGCCTCGCATTATGCATTTGCTTTTAAAAACTTTGCTCAACTACAAGGTTTGTGTGGATAACACTTGCCATCGTAGTATGTCACCACCTCTAGAATATCACAGAAAATTTGAGCTGGCCAAGTTTTTCATCGTCTTGTTTTCTTGAATATCAGAAATCATTCATAGTTGTATTTTTTGCAATAAACACTACAAATTCTGTTTCCCTTTTAACTTCTGTACGAGCATCCTATGCTGATGAACACATGGATTTCTTTCAAACTTACTATTTGGTTTAAATGCTTCCCACAGAATCCCTAAAAAGAGTAGGTTATGTCTCATTTTGAATCTGAAGCTTTTGGGTCACTCCATCCTCCAGTGGACGAATGGGACATCCCATAGAGAATTGTTACCTAGAATGGCAATCATTTGCTGGAGCAGAATTTCTGTAGCCTCATACTGGTGCATAATGTGATGATGAGGTTAGGCTAATATAGATCACTTAGTTGGAATATTATAAACTAGCTGTAAATTCAGGAATATTTTATTTTAATCAATAATTGTTTAGGAAACTTAAGAAACTTAATATTCCCAAAAGATGGAACTAAAAAAGTTAATTTTTGGATGCCGATTAAGATGGTGTAATTAGTCATGCAAAAGGCTTGAATGGTTACAGCACCTTTGTACTGTTCATGGGCACATCCTTTTCTTTTTTTTCCTTTCTCTCAAAACAAGGTGCTGCATTTCCTTTCTTTTAATAAATCTAATCAGTTGCATTTGTAACCATTATTTTTGAAATTTTTTAGGATATAGAATATTGATGGTAGAAATAATGAATGTTTAAATAATCCAATTTGGTATTTGGAACTGAGGTTTGTTATGCTATAGGTTTCGTGATCTGGTAGTTTGTCAGAGTGCATTATTATCACTCAAATGAATTTAGTTCCTGCCATTTATTAGGATGTCTCATTGATGAAGACATAAGAAATTATTCCTTTCAGACTGTTTTTTTGTTTAATGTGCCATTGCCACTCAGGGAATGCAAGTTGCACTGGATGACTGTGAATGACCTATTGACTTGTTAGAGTGGGGGGATGTGTTTGGCCCAGTGTGCAAAAGGCTATGCCTTATTTTTGATGTGGTACACATGAGCATGGGTGGTTTGTCACAGCCCAAGTAGCCTATTGACTCAACAACTTGAATGTAGTGGGTCTACCAACATGATCCAAAACCTTAAGCCCATGTTGCTAATAATAGTCCACTTGCTGCTTTATATACCAAACTAAGGTATCATATTCTATTGATGTGGGATGCAGGATATCACAAAATCCCTCACTTAAATACGTGACCTCCTTGTTGTGCCCGTGCCCTATGGCGCTTTGCGTACATCTCTGTGAGCAATGTGGGATTCCAAAACTCCGAAAAGACTTGCAAACTAGCACGCCTTGCAAGGTGGCTATTCCCCTCGGGCCCTCGCAAGGGCACAAGTATCCTCTCGTATGGGCCCCACACGTCTGTTCTACTCTGATACCATTTGTCATTGCCCAAGTAGCCTACTGGCCCATCAACTTGAATCGAGTGGGTCTAAACCAACATGACCCAAAAACTTAAGTTCAAGTAGCTAGTAGTAATCCACTTGGGTCATGTTTGTTTGGATGGACTAAATAAGGGAGGATTGTAATGTAACGGATTGATAGTCCTAGGATACATAGTCCCTAGACTATTTCGCTGGAAATGATGTGTATCCCATGTTTGTTTTCTCATGGGATTAGATGTGTGGAAATGACTATTTTAGTGAATCTCATTTCTGATTGATTTGAAAATTATGAAATATATTGTTTAAATTGTTTACAATGACAATACTTAAATTTGAAGTATAATTTATTTTATTTAATTTAAAGTTTATTTTTTAATCTTTGTTTCAAATATATTTTATTTTGTTTTACAAAAACATTTTTAATTTTATTTAAATACGACATTAGAAATATATTTGCATTTATGATTTTGCTAATATGAAAATGAAAAAAAAGAAAGAAGAGAAGACTATTATATATCATGAGATTAATTTACATAGGTTTAAAATAATTCCAACATGTTTAAAAAATAAAAAAATGAAAGAAATTAATTTTATATATACTTGAGGGTTAATTTCGTCATTTAATTAGCTAATCTAGAGGTTGGCTCAGTCCATCCATTTCTATCCCACACCCCCCTCCCCCCATGGGATTGAGTTATCCGATATATCCGACTGGACTAATAGTCCGACCTTCATTTTTCCAACAAAATATTAGACTATCCACTTTGTTGGACATGGAGTCTAATCCCATGCCCGAATCCCACCAAACAAACACCTCCTTGGTGCTTTATATACCAAACTAAGGTTCATATTATATCAATGTGAGATGTGGGATATCACATAGTTTTGGAGATTATGAGCTCCAAATTCATAAGATTAAAGGGGTGCAATTAAGCATGTTATAATATTTGACTTTGTGTGGCTTTGCTTTGGATTCTTCCATAGAGATTTTGATGACTTGTTTGTTCATGTGGCAATTTAGGAAAGGGTACATGTATGTTTCATGTTGTACTGGGGTTGTTCCCCCTTGGTGGATTTTAGTGGATAAATTTGCTTCCTAAAAATAGAAGAAAATAAAAGGTGCTGTTGGAACCTTTATATCTGTATTTTACCCTAAATTAATCTGGGACTAATGCCATAGAAAATACTAATAGAATAGTCAAGAATTGCCTTTTCTGTATAATTTTCTTGGTTCTGTTGCTACCGTGAACTTTACACATTCAAAAGGATTAAATTCGACAGACCTTGGTCATCGAAAGAATCTTTGAGACCAATTGAATCATGAAAGCAGAATCTTTCAGAAACGGATTCCTGTTTGAGGATTTAATAACTGCAGGAACGAGCTCCCACTAATCCGTGTATTTAGGATCCAATGTGAATGGATTTTGGTTTTGTTCCTAAGAAAAGGATGCTCTTTTGGTGCAAATATTAAACTTGAATAAGTTAGGTTCATGTTGTAAGTTCTAAAATGTTGTTAAGATGTGATTTCTACATTCCATTGGCTTGTTTATTGGTTCTAAAAGGTGTGATTTTTTGTAAAAGTCGTTTCAAGATGAGGTAAATATTAATACTTAGTTTGATACTTCCAGACCACTGGACTTCGGTCACACACTTTATCCATGCTTGTAAATGACTCTCCTGGAGTTCTCAACATAGTTACTGGAGTTTTTGCTCGAAGGGGCTATAATATTCAGGTATCTCTAATTTCACTGCTGTTTTTTTTCTTCTTTGGTTTTCATTTTCATACTTCTCATTGTTGTGGGTGTGATTTTTTTTTCTCTCTCTCTCTCTCTCTCTCTCTCTCTCTCTCTCGTTTTCCTTTCAGAGTTTAGCTGTTGGTCATGCAGAGGTTGAGGGGCTTTCTCGTATTACAACTGTTGTTCCTGGTACAGATGAGTCCATTAGCAAGTTGGTGCAGCAACTTTACAAGCTGGTAGATCTTCATGAGGTGAGGTTATCCCAATCAAGATGCATCATGTCAGTTGAGTAAGTAGCATAAATGGGATCAAGTTTCCTTCGTTTGTGGGAAATGGAGGATGACACCATCAATATTGTATGTCTGCTGGTGAATCTATGGGTTTTTATATCTTGGTGGAATCTTGTGGAATTCCACCAGATATTTGTTTATGTAAATTGAATAAAAGAGTGATCACATTTGTGGTTGGCTAATTTATGATTTGCATTGGGTTCTACCATGTAGCAGACAGTTGGATTCATACCAAATTACCGATCAAGAAAGAAAAAAAGGTATTTGTGGTTCGCTGGGCCGAATGGCCAAAATATGTATTAGAATTTTTGTGACTGTTATATAGGTGTTCATTTGATTAGACCTGTAAGTTAGAAGTGCCCTGATGGGGTCCACAAGTCAAAAGTACCTACATCAAAAAAACCAGATATTGGTTTATGTAGATTGAATAAAAGAGTGATCACATTTGTGGTTGGCTAATTTATTGTCTTGCATTCATATGAAATTGCCTATCAGGAAAGAAATAAAGTATTTGTGGTTGGCTAGGGCCGAATGGACAAAAATACGTATTAGAATTTTGTTGACTGTTATATAGGTGTTCATTTGATTAGACCTGTAAGTTATTGGTTTATGTAGATTAAAAAAAAAAAAAAAAATCACATTTGTGGTTGGCTAATTTATGTCTTGCACTGAGTTCTACCATGTAGCAGACAGTAGGATTTATACCAAATAGCCTATCAGGAAAGAAAAAAAGTATTTGTGGTTGGTTGGGGCCGAATGGACAAAAATATGTATTAGAATTTTGGTGACTGTTATATAGGTGTTCATTTGATTAGACCTGTAAGTCACAACTTTAGAAGGCCCCTGATGGGGTCCATAAGTCAAAAGTACCTACTTCAAATTTTTTTTGGGTATAACTTGAACCTAAGTCTTGGATCTAGAGCATGAAGTGTGACATCTTCATACATACATACATACATATATATATATATTTATATATCAGGCAGATCCCTTTAACTTTTGTATCATTTCTTCATTTTTCTTTTTCTTTTATTACTTTGCAAGACTCTTTGTATTCAACAATCAACACAGATGTATAACTCATAGTGAATCAAATACTCATAGTTGCGTTTATAAATGAGTTATTCGTGCTTATGAGCTTTCCTGGTGAACATTCAGATTGATAATAGCTTTGCTGGCACTTTCAGGTTCGAGATTTTACCCACTTGCCATTTGCTGAGCGGGAATTAATGTTGATAAAGATTGCTGTGAACTCTGCTGCTCGTCGGAACGTTCTTGACATTGCTAGCATTTTTAGGGCCAAAGCTGTTGATGTTTCTGATCATACAATAACGCTTGAGGTGAACACTGTTTCTTACAATTTGTCATTTAACTTGTTTACATTTTGGTTCACCTAGTCTTTTCCAATTTGATCGACTTCTTATGGACAATGAATGAGTGGCGTCTTAGGGCATTAAAAATAGAGTATACTGGCAAATTATGTGGCCATTGTTTACCAAGAATAAGGGGGGTGCATTCAACCTCTCTTTTAATTTTTTTATTTTATTTTGAAGGGTGTGACCAAAGGGGATATTGATGCGATAAAAGACAAACATGATGGAGTCGTAACTACAATTTGACCACCTGTGGAAAAAACTAGTGAATTTTCAGTCACCATAGGATTTGTATCAATGATCAACTTTGAGTTCTTCATGCATGAATTAACTAAACACATTCATGATTATATCTTATGGTGTATGTTGTTTGCAGATGATGTTGTTCTAATAGATGGAAACTAAGGGAGGAATTAAACACTAAAATAGAAATATGGATAAGCACTAGGGTTTAAAATTAATAGAACTAAAATTTATTATATGGAATGGAACTTTAGCAACAATAGAAATAGAAATAATAGAGAAGTGAATATTAAAAGATGACAGAGTGAATATTTTCGTGGCTTGTGCTTAATTATTGTTTTGGATGAAGAGGTTGGAGATGATATGATCCATAGAATCAAAATAGGTTGGCTCAAGTGGAGGAGTGTGTCTGGCATATTATGCGAATGTCTGGCAACTAATAAACATGTTCATAAAATGAGTATCGCTGAGATGAAGATGCTTAGATGAATGTATGATATGATTAGGAAAGATAGTTACAAATGAATATATTTGTGAACTTGTAAGAGAAGCACCAAGGGAAGAGAAGTTCAGAGATAACAAATTAAGATGATTTGTTCATGTACAACGAAAGTTTTGTTGATTTAGGAATCAAAATTGGAAAACTTCAAAATGGAGGGAACAACAGCTTCAGTTTGGAGGAGGAGCAACAACTTAGCTTTTGAAGTTGTGATGTAGTTAGAATTAGTATTATTGTTAGAGGTGGGTAACGATTTATTCGACCCGCACAACAAGCCCAAACCGACCCTACCCTCACAAAATCCGACCTTACCCGTACGCATAAATAGGGCGGGTGCGGGTCTATTTTTACATACAAAATCGGGTTCGGGTTAGTTTCGACCCGTCCTGCGCAAATCCGCAACCCGTCCGTAGATTATGTTTAAAATTAAAAAAAAAAAAAACTCACTCACATGTTGAACTAAAAAAATCTTCATTCTTTTGGTCTCTCTCTCTCTCTCTCATCTCGCCTACCTCTCTCTTCTCTCCTCCCCGTTGCCGTCACCACCACCATCTCTCGCCCCTTGCTCGCCTTCTCTTTCATCTCCTCCCCGTCACCATCTCTCTCCTCTCCTCTACTGCCGTCGCCGTCGTCTCTTGTAGATCAGCCCCTACTCCATCGCCGCTCCATCACCTCTTGCACATCAACCCAGTCATGTCGTTGGTTGCTTGCCGTCGTCCCCTCTTGTCCTACTAGATCTGGAAGATGTAGAAATAGAAACTGCAAAAAAAAAAAAAATAAAAAAAAAAAAATGCTTCATTGTTCGAAGGTATGAATCCCAGATCTGGAATCCTCCATCTTCATTTATTTATGGTTTGCTAGTTATGTTGTGGGTTTGCTGACTTTTGTTCCCACTCTTGTAACTTTTTGCTTTGTTTATTTAATAAAAAAATATTTTCATTGTTGTATGTGATAAAGTTAGGTTGAATAATGATAATAAAAAAAATTGTTTGTCTTGCTTTTTTGTGTCTTTGTTTGTTATATACATATTGAAAGTGCAAAAAAAATTATTTATGTTTGTTTTTTTTATGGCTTTAGAAAGTGGGGAAGGCCCTAATGCAAAAGCCCAAAAATAAAATTTCAAAAAAAAAAAAAAAAAATCTAATTCACAAACTGCCTGCAACCGCCCCCCACCCTTTCAATCCGCAACGCGGTTCCATTTTTTCCCAACCCGCATCCCATCGGGCGGGTCCAACCTGTCATCTGAACTGCACAGAACCAATCCATGAGCACCCCTAATTGTTGTTATATTAAACCATGAGAGTTAGTTAGAGCTAGTTGGGTCCTTTATCGTATAAATAGGTGGTTAGGCCCCTCTATTATTCAGTTTATGATATTTTGTGATTGTATTTTCAAAGCTAGAGAGCTTTTTTTATCTCTAATTGAGCTTTTCTCTCTCTAATGAAATCCATTTCTTGATTTGATTCCATCAGTTTGGAGATCATCATAAATAAGATCAAGGTAGAAGAATAGATGGTGATTAGAGGATAGACTTTTTGGTTGGATTGGGAGGTTTTTGGACATTGTTCATTGATGCACTTATGTCTGTTGTTGGTTAGCCTGAAGGTGTCTCATATTGAGCTGTTCTGGTGAGTCAGAGAGAGGCAATGGGTGCTGTGGTTTTCTTGAAATGAGGCAATGGGTGTTGCAATTTATTTGGTAGTTTGGGAGGAGGACTTGGGGTCTAAGGGGTGAGCTAGTGGTCTTGTTGGGTTGTGATGCAAGTCACAGATGTGATCGAGTTATCATGGTCTTGCTATATATCTGATTTGGAGGAGTATTTCTGCTGCTTGATCTTTGGTTGGGTGTTGGGGTTTGTTTCTTTTTGCCAGTTGGTATCTTACCAACTTTGTTTCCATTTTGTTTTCTTTTTTCTGGATTGCTTGTTCTCTAGCATTTGTTCCATGAATAGCTTGATGCTTTTCTTCAGTCATGCTTGTTACATGCATTCCCCTTTATTATCATAATAAAATATTACTTTTTTGCCGATAAAAAATAAGGAATAGTGATATGATCACCATAAATGAAAATGTTAAGAGGGAGAGGAAGATCTAAACCGACATGGAATGTTTAATTTAATTGAATCTATATATCTCTTGATAAAGCATATTGTCAAAAAATGATTCATATAGCCGATACCACTTGATTGGCTTATTTTGGTCTAGTTTGATGTTTCCTTTAGTTATTAAAAGTTTTCGAAGTTGTTCAAATTGAATAAAAATAAGGCACCAATTTCTTTAGTATATTATCTATTTTGCAAAAGCTTAACCTTGGGAATTAATTGTTTGTTTTGTTTTGTTTTGTGTTTTTTTTTTTCCCCCTCTAATAAAAAAGTTCAGCCAACTAGTATAGGCATTCTTTATGATCTTGCTTCTGGTATTCATTCTTGAATCAACAAACCCTCAGATTGTTACTTATGCTATTTTGCATTTCCCGCTACTTCACCTTACAAGCTCAACTGGATTGGAGTGGCATCTAGAGAGAAACTAGATCCTTCTTAAAATGAGGGCTCAACAATGGTTGACTCAGATTTGTATTAATTCTCAAAGGTTTTGTTGCCCCAAGACTTGCAACCATTATTTATAATAAACCCGATTCTTGTAAAATAAGAAACTAATGAATTAGGAAATAAAATTAAAACTACTAAAATATTAAATCTAAATAATCTCAAATCAAGAAACTAAATAATTCTATTTTATTCTATACTAAATTAGAATATTCCTAGTCAAATATTAATTTTAAAATAATAAATTAAAAATTTAGATTTTTTTAAAATTTCGTCTGCCTCATAAGGCCCACCACGGGTAGAATCTTCCGTTAATGGAAGGGAGGTTGGTATAATTATACCAAACTAGTTGGATTCATTTTATTTATGCCAATTGCCAGGGAGGTTGGTGTAATTTACTATTTTACCCCCCAATAAATTTATCAGCCTGATCATTTTATTTTAGATCCTTTGGTTTCTCTCTCATCTTTGAATGGTGTTGCCAATGATTCTTCTCGTGGAACATGTTCCAGCTTACAGGAGATCTTGATAAGATGGTTGCTCTGCAGAGATTATTAGAACCATATGGCATTTGTGAGGTATGTTATTTCTCCTTGATCTTGATTCCAGTAGCATTCAGTAACTTTTAATTAAGTGTTGCATACTGTTATGTGTCCTATATTTTTCTGAGATTACTATTGGACTTTTTCACTAAAAATGGCTCGTTGAGATGAGATTTTGTGAGAAATAAAACCAGCTGAATGTCATTTCATAATACCAAAATTGCTTTTCAAAATATGAAGAATGGAAAAGAAATCCTACGAATCCCAGCCATATCTTGACAAGAAAAAAGCTATTTTGGTAAAATAACGGAAATATTTTCTTTATTCTCTCTTTGTATGGTCTAACTAAATAAGGATGGCTCGCTTTGTAGGTGGCACGAACGGGGCGTGTGGCATTGGTACGTGAATCTGGTGTGGATTCCAAGTACCTTCGTGGTTTTTCTTTTCCGTTGTAACTTGAACTTGAGAGAGAGTTCATGACAAATGGAGTGGGGATGCATTCCACGCAGAAGTTTCACATAGATACATGGAGACATCTCTGATTTTCCACTTAGTTTTAAATGCCAAAAATGAAGCAACATAAATGAGAAGCATTCCAAACCATACAATTCCAGTTTGCATCTTGTAATTTTCTTATTGTTTCAACCCTTGCAGAGAGATTAAAAAAAATTGAAATTATGTCAAAAGCATCTTTGTAGGAGAATTTTGTGTTTAAATTGCAAGTGTTGTGAAACCTTGTTTTAAGACTTGTTTTTCTAACCTGGTCAAAGTTATGGGATTGAAAACAAAGCCTACCTTTAAAGGTTAATTTCATTGACAGAGGATGTTACAAATGACAATTATCATTACCCTCCCAACCTGCCGTCACTCGCAAATCATCGACCAACCCAACACCATGACCATAAACACAGATCCTCTCCAGCACCCGCATGGATCTACTCCGGTGGCACAAATTAATTGTCTGCTACCACTATGACATGGGTCCACCCCATAGATTGCTGATTTTCATGGTGCTTCAAAGAGAGGCCACACCACCATTTGAAACCTGAACAAAATTCCCTAAGTTCTTGCAATTTGACAACTTCTGTAGTCTGGATTGGTTTGCAATTTGATAACATGGATGTTGGCGGGTTTGTATTTGATGGTGGCTATTGGTGGTAGTTGGGGTGAGAGATGAGTATTTGATGGTGGCTATGGTGGTGGGTGGGGTGAGATATGATAAGAGGGGGAGAAGAAAGAGAGGGACGACAGTGGGGTTGGCAATGAGGCAAGGGAAGTGGTGGTGCCATGTGATGGTCGCGAGAGGGAGGGAGAGAAAAGAAAGAAAGAAAGAGAGAGAGGAAGAGATGAAGGATAAGATTAAAAAGAAAAAGAAGAGACGAGGGAAGTTTGGCTGTGGCAGCTAGCTGGGGATGGTATAGTGAAGGAAATCATAGCAAAAGGAATTAGAGCTGATCATATGAGAGAATGTAACGATCGACGTGGGCAATGTTATTTATGTAATCATCATATTTTTCGGAGTTTGTTGTGTTGTTCTTCTTGAGCTTAATTAATCTTCTGTAGCTTGATTTTTAAAATTTTGAGTATATTTTTTTTTGGAGTTTATTATTAGTTGGACACTACAGCGGAAAATTTAATAATTATGTGGAAATATTCTGTGTGATGCACATTTCTATTCTATTTAAAAAAAAAAAAAAAATTATTTCCTATACACGTCTGGAAAAGTTGAAAAAGAAGTTGGGTATAAAAATGTGTTTGAATGCACTTCGATGATGCACATATGGACATGGAGTTTATCTTGATTTTGGAAATCACACAATTCACGAAATTATATTTTGTAGGTAACTAAACCAAATATTAATTTGAGCAGTCACATGCTTGATTAACCTACTAAACTAAATCAGAATAAAATTGAAGTGCATTTAAGAATTGTCTACTTACTAATAATATTCAAAAAAAAATTAAGGGAAGAATTGTCAAGGATTTTCAAAATAAAGTGTTAATGTTTTGATATTTTCAAAACATTCATGGTTCATCTTTGGAAAATTAACTTGTACCATATTAGAAAGTGAGGAAAAAATGGAACAATTTGCCAACTGCAATGAGCCGCATAATCCAAGCAAAAAGCAACAAACAAAAATAGAAAACTATAGCGATAGAAAAATTTAACAATAAGAACAAAACACATTGTCCAATGATAAGCATTGTCTATAAACTTTTATGTCTATGTGTTAAGGGCAACATTTCACTTATAATTCCCTCAAAACTTTGCCTACCATAAAAATTGTTGGCTGTGTTTGGAACGATTTCCAAATCATGATTCTACTCTCACATTTCAATATGATATTTGGATAGGATGTTCAAAATATATTTCTACAATATTTAGAAAACTCTGCAGAGTTTTCTGTGTGAGGTACGATTTTTAATTTTTTTTTTAAAAATTTGGCCTAACTGGACGTCCCACCGGTCATTCGGCTAATTGACCGGAACAGTGCAAATTTTTTTTATTTTTTTACAATTGACATATGTTAATTTTTATATATTCGAAAAAAATATTTTTCAAATTTTTTAAAATTTTTTATATGCTTTAATAGAATTTTGAGTTATATATGTTTGGTTATGAGTTATAAGTTTTTTTTATCAAATATCATATGTTATATCAAAAATTTCCCACTCAATTCAAAACTTTTTTACCAAATAATTTCAAACTCAAAACTCACAAAGTCAAAATATAACTCATACTCTCAAATCATATTTAAAAAGTTTTACCAAACGCAACCATTGTTTATCTCAATTAGTTGTGCGCGGAGAGAGAGAGAGAGAGAGAGATGACTGATGAAATAGTAGTGAGTAACAAACAAGTGATTTTGAAGGATTCTGTTATTGGTTTCCCCAAAGAATCAGACGTTATTAACGGCTACCAACATACACCTGAAGGTTCCCGAAGGTTCTAAAGCGATTTTGGTGAAAAATCTCTACTTTCATGTGACCCTGCCATGTGAGCTCGCATGAGCCAATTTGAAGGAAGCTATTTTGAGTCTTTCAAACCTAGCCAGGTAAGCAAAAACAGTCATTTTCATAGCATTCAAACCAAAGACTACTGTTTTCTTTCAATTACTTAAAAAAAAAAAAAAAAAAAAAAAAACTTATATGTTTGTTTACATAACTATATATATATATAATATATAGTTTTAATTTTTAAATTCTACAAAAAAAAGTTGATAATAATGCGCTCGGGGGACAAAAAGGATAAAATTCAATTCTGCTGATGCACATGGCATTAGGTTTACAGTAATGTTAGGAGGTCTGAATTTTCATGACTCGAATATCTTAAAACGACATCGTTGACATATTCGAACCATTCAGGTCGTACAAATTCGGACCACTAAATGTTTTTCTTAGGTTTATAGTAAATGTTGGATGTCACAACCACATGTTTTGTACTCCAACCCATCCTAAAGGCTTTCAATAATATAGAAATTGTTGAATATTGGAAACTGTAAATTGGATAGATAGCAATATGAGGGAATCTTTTAAGGTGATTTGACTAAAAGAAGACAACTAGGTGCTACTACAGACCAAACGATAATGCTAGAATCATTGGATTCAATTTTATATAGTGGGCGTCCGGAAAGTTGCTATTTTAGTAGGTTATTTTAATTTTTAGTTATTTTAGTAGGTTAAAATTTTTGTACTTGAGAAAAATTAAATTTTTTTGTAGTTGGATGTGATGTTTGTGAGAGAAAAAATGAAATGATTATGAATTTGATATGGTATTTTATCTTATTAGATATTTTAACTTATTTTGTCTTTTTGTGAATTTTAGCCTAAAAGAGGCTAAAATTTTTCTTGCCAAACACTCCCAAGTGACGAAAGGCCACACCAAAGACCTAAAGGCTTACTAACAAAACAACCCATGGAGGAGGAGCAAGGATCCTCTAGAGTGATTTTTCCTTAAAGTTTTCTAGAGTGTTACAATGTGTGGTTGAGATTTACTAGCAAGTCACATCAATTTTTCTGATGTGACTTGCCAATAAATCTCAACCACACAATGTAGGACTTTAGGAAACTTTAAGAAAATTTCACTCTAGAGGATCTTTGGTGATGGAGGACTCCAAGTAACTAACAAGTCCAACCAATGGAATTAGAAAGTTCAACTGAATTAATGAGAATCTCCACCTATTTATAGCTAGAGAATCCTTTCCTAAAACAAAATAGGTTTCCTAAAAAAAAATAAGTTTCCTTTCAATCCAATCCAATCTAATCCAAAACCAACTAAGAAACATTAAATCCGAAACTTTAAAAAGTCCAAATCAAGTCAAATTGGTCTCTCACACATCCAAACCAATATGGAAGTCCGAATCAAGTCAAATAGGTTTCTCATACATCCAAACCAATATGGGAGTAAAAACCAAGTCCATGTTTGACTATCCACAAATCCTATTCCAATTAGGAATAGAATACAAAATCCGAATCATATTGGTAATGGACATTGAACCAATAATCCAACAAATCTCCACCATGGCGACATGTTCAACTGCAACAAGCCAACCAACATAAATTTCTAATGTAGAAGAAGCTTAATGGAGTAGATAAGGAGACAAAAAGGTAATTTTTTAAACTTCTCTATCAACTTTATTTTGAGAGCTTCTATTTTCACACCACACAAACTCTCAGTATACACCACTTTCTTAGTTCACACCACACATATTTTGAATTAGAGTGATTATACTTGTACCACTACTTTACTTCGTTACACCCTCCATATGAGTTTTTTTTCTTCTTCCAATTTTATCCATGTGTGAAATTACTTCTAAGGACAAAACACTAAAATTAAATATATTTTATTATCTTCTTACATCCCTTGGTCTTCAATCCCTACTCTTTTTTTTTCCTTTCTCAATTTTTCTTTTCTCTTACACGTTTCTTTTCAAAAAGTGAGAATCATAGTGTTTTGATCATCAAAGAAAACAATGGATGAAGAAACGGTGGTGAAGAACTAGCAAAAAAGTGAAATGGTAGACTGTTTGTCAACTTTTGTTTGGTGTTTCGAAATCAAACAAAATAAAATAGTCCAGCATCACATTGCCGAACAAAATATGTAAGTCTAGTAACCAACTGCTGAATAAAAGATATATTTTCGGTAACCTAAGGAAATTTTTTAAATTTGTTCGGCTACTCATTATCATGTATTTTTAGTTTCATTTTTTTTTTTTATGTTTTTTTTTAATTTTTTTGTTTGGAAGGATTATACTTATAGTCATTGCAACAACACAAGTACTGCATTATTAGTGGACTCGAGTTATGAATTCATTATAGACAAGGTCTGTTAAGTGTTTTTATGAATACAATTTTTTTCTTATTTTTAATTTGTATTGAGTTTTATTAATAATTTGACGTATAAATGTATTTATTATGTTTAAATTTTTAGTAGTCGTCAAGCATTAATTAAATGGGCTTCTGACGTGGGGAAGAAGATTGGATTTGTCATTGTTATAAATACATCAGATATGGGAGGTAATGGCAGAAAACCAAGACATGCACTTGCTTGTGAAAGAAGTGGTTACTATAGAGATAACAGGAAAATCAAGGGGAAATGGTTGAGGTTGATAGGTTCTAAAAAGTGTGGATGTCCATTTTTATTTTATATTTTTTGTTTTTTACTTAGAAGGATTATACTTTTACTCATTGCATCAATACAAGTACAATCATTCAGCTGCTGAACATCTTGAAGGACACTCATTTG